TGATACATCACTTTTCATTCATCACACTGGGAACATTCACCAATGCGGGAAAATGGCAGTGTGGACACTTGGACAATCCATTTCCATTCGGAATTGGAAAAGAGAGTCAAAGGATCAGGCAGGAAATCCTAGCACAGGAAATTCCAAACTGTTTTGATTTGACATTTCATAAAGGAAAAAAAAATCATTTGTTCAAAATGTCTAATTGACACCCCCCCCCCCATGCAGTCTTTTTCAATTGGAAAAAACAAAAATAAAGAAAAAAATGTGTTTGCAAATTTCAATAAAACTATAATTTTTGCAGTGGGGGGGAAGAGGTAGGAATTCTTGCATGAAATACTTCAACCTTCTCTACCTACATGAGACTAATATGTGCGGAGGACTAATTATACTGTGCATTAATACATCACAAAAAAAGCTGTGCTATCGCACTAATGCACAGTAGAATTAGTCTGCTGCGCATTAGCCTCACTAAAAAGGCATGTGCTACTGCACAGTAGTACTAATTACTGCACGTTCAGTTAGTACCGGTTATTACAGGTACTCAATTTAACATGCCATAACTACAGCGCCTTTATGCACTTGTAGACGCGCCCACTGAGTAAGATTCTACTTGGCACATGCAAAAGTATACCCTGACACTGAACAAAATTTATTTTATATCAAGCATTGCTTCTGGGGTTGGTTGGTGAATTCATGAAACGAAAGTAATTATAGGTACCACCAGAAAAGCAGCAGTAAAACAACACACAAAGTGAACTGAAGCACTCTTGCTTGATAACTGGAGTACTAGTCTCTGCAACTTTTTGTACAAGTGCCAGAACATTTCAGAGAATGTAGGTCAATTTGCAGTCCTATTCTGGCCTCTCTGAAGCTACTTTTATCTAGTATAAAAAGACTATATTATCTTACTGTTTATCTTGTGTCAAACAAATCAGTTTGGAACTATTACTTTACTAAAGGGTTTTTAGCATCAGCAACAGTAAAACAAATCAGCTGATTGTGTCAAAATGCTGCAGTCACATTCTCAGTGGGTGAGTCCAACTGAGATACTTTACTGCACAGCAGACTAATCTACTGCACAGTAAAGCATCACTGTCTACACATGCAGGGCATTAACTGCACATATTTTACTGTACAGTAAGCCTAATGCAAATTAATGGCACATTTAGATATGCCCATTGTGTCCTAGACTGCTACTAGACTGTTACTAGCAGGTCAACCTCCCACACTTTAATTTACTGAACAAATGTTAACAGTCATTTATGTAAAATGCTGCCTTTATTATTCAGTCATTTTACAAAACAATTGCAGCTTTTTTTTGTGGTTACTATTTCTGCACATGCCCTAATATTAAGAGAATCTTAATACCGTAGAAAGAACTCTGTTTAACTTTGTCTACGAGTTACTGAAAACTGAGGGGGAAAAATTAAAATGAAGCACATGACTAGTTCTTGTGATTTTTTACCACAGCTTTCAAGATACTGGCTGTTCTGCAAAGCCTAGCTCCTGGAGTCATTTGAATCTAGAAGGCTCTCCACTTTCATTGCTAAGCTGAGCTGATCCCTTAAATCTGGTGCAAGATGACCAAACTCTTCTGATAGCAGGAAAAGCATCAGCAAACACAAATCCTGAAGCCAGGCAGCAAATAAAAAGGAAAAACAGATTCATGGTGGGTTTTTTTTTTTTAAATCTCATGATTTTGAGACTTGCTTTATCATTTCCCAAGTGTCTGAGGTTGGCAGATGAGGTCTGCCCCTTGAAATTAGAGCTCTTTTGTGCTCCTGCACCAGCTTCTGAACATTTCTGTGGAATACGCATTTAATCACCTTGTTTTCCATTACTTCTATTTAGCTACTATCTCTGTGTGCCCACATGCTCTCTTCTTTATAGCATTCAATTGTAGTCAGGAGATGTCAGGCCTTGACCTCTCCTGATAGTTTTTCTCCCTCTCTCGGTCAGATTTTTGCTCACCTTGCTCTGGCTATATTTAACAGTTTCCAGTAGCTTTCCCTTTTGCTTCACCCCGTGTATTCCTCAGACACAAATCGATATCCCTTTGCTCTCCCAGTAATATGAATGTTCCCTACTGATGTGCCCTACCTGGTAAGCCACCCCAGAAAGGGGGAAGAGCTAAGGATACAGCCCACTCTTTCCCTGGTCTCTCCTCGTGATATCTCTGAATAGATCACATACCCAAAGTAAAGGCTTCCTCACCAATAGTGTACCAACTTACTCATTTCATTCTAATTCATTTCAAACAAGCCCTACACTAGAAAAAGGTAGGTGGAAAAATGTGGTTTTATAATAGGAACGTGTGTACTGACTTAGAGGCAGAGAGGTGCTGAGCAGCTGCAACTCCTCTACCCCCCCCCCTCCCGTATCAATGGCAATAACAAGATACAGCTTCAAATTATGGTATGACATTTAATCTACTTGAGAAATGGATAGTTACATTTGAGTCAAAGATCTCTGCCCGAGAGGAGGTAACTGCAATCTATTCTCTTGAGATCAGGTTTTTAAAGTGCAAGAGCAGGATTTCCAAAAATGTTCTACCTTGGGCTAACTGTGCTCCCACTGGAGTCAATGGGATCTTTGCCAGATTAAGAACCTGATAGTCTTCTGATTTTGGACAGTGTCTAAAGACACCCACACTACTCAGCATTCCCAGCAGACCCCTAAACAAAGTTGAATGGAGGTACAGACCCCTCTGAATTGTAAGTGTGGCTGTTCACACACTTTAGATTGATCATAGTCATCTTTCACAGACCCCTTAGACATAGTCTGCAGATCCCGAGGGGTTGAAAACCACTGAGTTAGGGCATGAAATTGGCCATCAGGATAAATGCCCTTCCTAGCCACTAGATGTCCTTCAATGATCACGATAAAGCCAATAATAGGCTGCATAGAGATATGCTAAACATCAGACCCAATTTTACTGACACTTGTCCAGAATTTCACAGGAAATCTGCTGGACTATGCATTACCGCTTAGGCCAGCAACAGGAAGGACATCTGATACAGACCTCTAGCGTATGCAAAGTTTCACAAAGAGGCAGGACACATCCCTGACACAAAGGCTACTCCCTGACACATTTCAAGTCCCTGATCCAGCTCATGGAGGCCAAAGAGCTGTTCAAAGAAAAGATGGCTAGAATTATTGAACATGGTCGAGTCAACGTACTCTTCCCGAGCATCATCCTTGGAAAGAACCATGTTGTTTTGACTGAGATTTAATCCCAAAAATATCAGCCCAAGACAGCGTGGAGGAGTTCAACTCAGATGGTTAAAGGTCTGGCTATGGGAAATATTGAGCTAACTTACTGAGTGGCAGAGCTGCCAGCCCTGTCTAAATATTGAACTGTTCCTAGGACAAGGGCCCAAACCACCGAGGGGGTCTAGTTAGCATAGTTTTAGCTTTAATCCTCCCTTCCTTACCTTGCAGGCCGTAGAGCTGGCCAGTGCTGTGCTGCCGTGTAATGTGCTGCCAGTAGGCACTCCGAGGCAAGGGCACCATGGTGCTGAGAGACACAGCTCGCTCACTCATTTTCATTTGAAGCTATAAAATAAAAGAGCAAAAGGGACATCAAGGATAGAGCATGACAGCAGCACTGCTGACAGTCCTCACAGACAGTTCGTGCGGGAGGCAAAAGTTATACAAAAACACTTGGTGGAATTGCTGCTTAATTACTTCTTCCTCTGCTCAGGCCCAAATTGTATCATTCTCTGCTGGCAACGGGACTCGGGAAGTCAGGGCAACGCGGCATGGGGGGACACGGTGCAGGATGGAAGAGGGGTGTGCAAAGAGAGCCAAAAACCCTGGTGAGACGAGACTGGTTCTGCTTCAGGCTTAAGCCAGGCAGCTACAAGTGGGAATGGGAGAGGAGCAGAACACAAGGAAGGGGGGAGTAAAATAGCTAATCCAATTCTCCCTCGCAAAAGACTTTGAGTTGACCTAGCAAATCTGACAAAATGTGTCATCCTCTAGTGTGATGCAAAACCAGCACACTAGAAACTAGTGTGAAGCATGGATTTGTGGTACAAGTATCTGTGGTACAATATGTCATACAAGGAATTAGAAGAGCAGGCTGCCAGCTACCTCTATCCAAGCAGAGTGGTGAAGTAGAGATTGGGCTGGGATAGATCAGCAGAGATCATATTAAATGTACTCTAGGAGAGCGTAAGGCTTTGGGAACCTTGGGTAAGTAATTCACCTGGCTAAGAGATTATTATTTATCTGGACTTTGTCTATCAAAGTTTTAAGTAAACCCGGGGAACTGTGGAGCATACATAGTGCAAGTTACTGAAGAAAGCCAGGGAAGTTAGGGACTGCATCCCTACTTGGGTAAACTGGTAAGTACAGTCTGCACTGCATTTAACTGGGGATCAGTTAGTCTGAAATTTGAACAAAATACAGCCCCCTCTACATGTGCAGGTAAAGGTGCAATGGGATCTAATGTGCAATCCACACAATTGCACATTAGATACCATTGTGCCTTACTCCCGGTGCAGGGGGAAACAAGTAAGCTCCCATGGCTGGCTGCTCCTCAGTTGTGAGGGGTTCCCAGACATAGGGGCACCCTATGCACCCCCAGGGCTGTGCAATCTTGGTAGCTGCAATCTTCCAGGCCTGGGGGTGCAGCAAGCAGCTCCACACCCCCCCAGGGCTGGGAGATTGCAGCTGTGTCCCATTGCTGCCAGGGCCAGCTGGATCTGGGCACCTGGAGGCATGCATCTGAGGGGTCCAGGACCCAGGGTTGGCAGCTTCAGGGGCTGAGAGTCCCCTTACTTACAGGACTCCCAGCCCTTGCTGGGTATGGTGCACCTGCTACACCTGGAAATTAAAGCTCAATAGCAAATTAAAGCTTGACAGTTAGTACAGTTTTAAGGTTTAATTTTATAGCTGGTTCGAGCTTTTTATGGAGTAATAAGCTCTTTGCACATGTAGCTGGTCTCAAGGGAATTGCGTAATACATGAAACAAGAGGCTTAAGATTTGCAAAACGCATTACAAAGACACACATTAATTTTGCACAACCCTATTCAGACTGGGCTCTTCCTGCCCAGTTGTTCCGCCTAGCATCTATCATCTCTGTATTAATGCCATTCACCTGCTAGCTGAGGATTTTCAAGTTGTATTGGCATAGCTGCAGCATGACATTGTTTAAAGATTATCACACACGCATGCCAAGAGAAGGGCAGGACTTCAAAAGCCAGGAATTACAGTAGCATCATTTTGCCGCAACCAATAGCTTCTTCCCAGTTTACTCTTCTAGAGACATGACAGCTAACAAAATTACTGTAGTCCTCTAATAAAAACTTTTCTGATGCCTACCATTTCTAAAATAAGAGGCATCAACTTAAAAAGCAGTTTTTGACACCCTCATATTTTATGCACTGATATTGTATCTGCAGTTGTGGGTCCACACCCATTTTGCATACGTAAACACACTGACAGCACATCTAGTGCATAAGCAGTCAATAAGCCTGTGTTGGCACCCCTTTAGAAAGGTGTAAACTGAAGCACCAAAAGAGCAAGTGTGACATGGTTAAACCAGAGCAGCATAATGCATGACAGCAATCAAAATATCTAACTATAAAAATGCCTTTTCCCCCTCCATTTGCCCCCTTGGACAGCTAAAAAGTTACATGTTCTGTTTATGAAAACAGAAACTATCCATGACATTTTACAAAAGCAGACTCCTCTCATTTAGTTTTGCAGACAAGAAGCAGGTAAGAACCCTTTAACTTATTAGTTTATTTCACTGCAAAGAGAACAGGTCAAGCAAGCACACAGAAGAGGCGGATCTGAGGGCTGGCTGGCTTCAAGGAGAAAAAGAAAGGCTTTGAAGTTTTTTTTTAGAAGCCATTTACCCTCAGCCTCCTCTCTGTAAGGTGTGGACATTGTGCCTGGGATCTGAAAGAACAAACAAATATCACATCAACCACTGCTCTTTAAAACACCCACATCCGAGTTACTAATACTGAATCACTCTGCACGATACATGCTTCCACCTACGCAGTATATTTATTAAATGCAGTTCCTTCAATAAAGCATCAGCAGAAGTTGCACTGTTACCATACATTTCAGCACCATGGAAACAAACAAGGAATCTATTCCAGGAAAGGGAAAATTTATTGGGATGCTGTGACTGATGATTCCCAACTGCTCAAAATCCTTTGGCAGCCTGAGTTCTGGTTAATGGTGTCCTTTCAGGGTACATCTTACACCCTTGTGGCAATCCCTGAGACCACCACTGAAAAAAAAAAAAATCCAAACAAAAGGACCCCTAGGACTGCATGCAAGTCAGTTCATAACAGGCCTCCAGTTTTGGAGACTGGGCCCAGGCCTGGTTACTAGCTTTCAGTCACAGATTGGTCGAAGGACTGAGGTCGGGACTTGGATTCATGACAGCTGGTTCTCATTCTCAACTTCGTAGCT